CGAATCTATGTCTGCGGGCTGGTGTTCAAGTGGGTCGAGAGCCTGGGTCTGGAGAAGGTCGAGGAGCTGCGCGAGGAGCGGGCCAAGCTCGTCTATGACACTATTGATTCGCACCCAGAGTTCTTCAAGGGCCCGGTCGACAAGCAGTATCGCAGCCGCATGAACATTGTGTTTAATCTGCCGACCAAGGAGCTGGAGGCGCAGTTTGTCGCTGAGGCGGCCCAGGAGAACATGATCCAGCTCAAAGGCACCGCAGCGTCGGCGGAATCCGCGTGTCGCTCTACAACGCCATGACCATCGAGGGCGCACAGGCCGTTGTCCAGTTCATGCTGTCATTTTATGAGCAGAATCGCCAGTAAATAAACTTTTTTATTCGCTATACTCAAACGGTTGCCTGGCGGATCAGTGTGATGTTGTCGCCCTTGAGCATTACCCGGCCCAGCGGCTTTCTGGTGTCCTTCTTGGTGTGCAATTCCTCGGCGTCATCGAGCACAACATTCATGAACTCGTCAAGCCCAGAATGCGGCCCTCGAGCCGCAGCGTCTTCTGCTCAAACAGCCAGATCTGGACGCGCTCCTTGGTCTGCAGAACTTGAAAATGACGTTGATGGGGTTGACCATCACCTTCTGGACTCTGGTCGACATGGTTGGAATGTTTCTGAGATATTTGTTTGCGGAGGAAATGTAATCGGAATGGGCTGGAGATATGTGTAGTAATCAGCAAAGAACGCAAATTCCCATTCCGTAAAGGCGGATGCACGGACGACAAAAAGAGAGCAGAGGGAATGCGAGGGGATGGAGACGATACGGAGACGAATGCAAAAAATAACGTGCGAACGGAATATGCGCTCTGAACACTTTTACTGCACGTCATCTCCCCGTTATGGCAAAATGACCAGTAGAGGGGAAAAGGGCGGGGTGGCAGAAAAGAGGGCTTGCCGACTGGCCCATTCTACCCCTCCCCCTTCCCTACGCCTGCGTAATGCAGCGTCCAGGTTGCAACCGCCGTATGCGAGAGAAGAATAATGCGTGGCTGTAAAGGCTGCGAATTTTCGCCAGCTGTTCCTCTCTCCTCTCTCTCCTCTCTCACTGCACTTTTTTCTATTTTCTAGAGCTGAATTTCCTCTTTTCATACCCTCCTCCATTCTTGGAAATGTCGACAAAACGAACGCCGTCGTCGGGCAATATTCCTATAGCCGGAATGAGCAGCGTCGGCATGACCGCGTCGTCGTCCTCGTCGTCCTTCACAGAAGCGCCGTGCAACCCCAGCCAGCAGCCACCACCATTCCACCAGGCTGAAAGCATGAACATGACGCCCGTTCATGACAAACGCAAACTACCGCATTATCTCGCCGTCGGTCAAAGACGACACCAAAGCGCCGAGTGTGATGCCAGGGCTCCCTGCGTGGATGTCGCCCACATCAGTGTCTCGCACGTATTTCCCTGCCACGCTGGCGAAAGACGTAGAGGCAGAGGAGGACATGGGCATGTGCGGCGGGTACGATGGCGTGGTGGACGGACAGGGATTGCGTACCGAGTATGACGTGTTGCCTTACGAGATCCACGCATGGTCGAGCCATTCGGCCAATTTCCTGCCACATAACATTCAAGTGGATCGACCGCACGACCAGGCGTCGAGGTGGTCGACCAATGCCAACAACCACCGGCAATACATCACGCTGCGACTCGAGCATCCAGCGCTTGTCAGTAAGTAGGCCACATGAGATTGTCACTTTGTTCTAGCAGCAGGCGATTTGTACTGCATTTGTATGTGCGCATGGCTGAATGACGGTCGCTTGTGCGCTCTGTTGCAGTGGATATTCTCTTGGATGCGAGGGGAGATTGCCCTCTCCGTTGTGCGTTCTCTTGCTAATCGTTCATATCACGTCTGCACGCTCTCCGGGCACGGGGGCGAGCCTCTGCTCTTGGACTCTTCTAGGATCGATAAAATTCGGCAAGTTCCACAAGAGTAAGTGCATGCACAGCGAAACGTAGGAGGAAGCGCTGAGCAGGCGACATGTGTGTTGATATCTCCCCTTTCCGTAGCCCATGTATGCAACCTCAAAGAGTTCAAGGTCTTTGGCGGCATGAACCAGGACACCATGACCGAGCTGCTCTACAGCGGACTACGCAACGACAACGAGCCCGAGACAATATCGGTCAAGCAGAGGCTTAGTGGACATGTAAGTAGCCTGGCCCCACTGCTCTCTCCAAGGCAGCATTGCCCGCATGCAGCACAACTGCTAAACAGAAAAACGCAAATAGTACATTCCGTGCCAGTACATCAAGATCCAGCCGCTGCTAGCACACGACCAAAAGTTCAACTTCAGTGTTTGGTACGTGGAGTTGCGCGGAACCATGGATCCTCAGATTATGCAGCCCATCATCCGCGACTTTGAGCAGCTAAAGGAGCGTGAGGTGGTCAGATCGTGCCTCAAGTTCTTCCGCGAACGCAACTACACCGACGCCTTCAAGGCCCTGCAGCAGCAGTCAAACGTGCAGTTTGAGACTCCGCTTCTGACACAGCTGCACGAGGCCCTGGTTGACAAAGCCGACTATGATCGTGCTGAGCAGCTTCTCCAGCGCGCTGAGCAGTCAGGCATCTTTGGCACCTGCATTGCCAAGATTCCGTACCAGGCCAAGTGGGGTACGGCCGCAGATCCGGAGCTGTACCCATGCCCATCGCCGCGCGGCGGCCACCAGATGTGCGTGGACTCCGAGAACCGCGAAGCATATCTGTACGGCGGGTGGGATGGCGCCAACAACATGGGCGATCTGTGGGTGTTCAAGATGGACACAGGCCGGTGGACGTGCATCAGCAGCAACACGCGGGACAATGGCGGACCTGGCCCATGCTCGTGCCACTCGATGTGCTTTGACAGCGTCACAAAGTGCCTCTACATCATGGGGCGCTACGTCGAGCACGAGCACCGAGCCAACATCGGCCTGGAAAACGACCTGTACTGCTATGACACAATCCGTGACGAGTGGCTGATGCTGTCGGAGAACACGGAGGTCCTTGGCGGGCCCAAGCTGGTGTTTGATGCGCAGATGGTGTTCGATCCGCGCTTCTCGAGCATCTACGTGTACGGCGGTAAGGTCCTGCAGCCAAACAACAGCGACACTGACTATGTGTATAGCGGACTGTACAAGTTTGATCTGCGCCGGCATGCCTGGACCATGCTCAAACCCGACGCCCACATGCATGACAAGGACCAGCATGTGCGTGGCCGGTACTTCCACTCGATGACGATTGACCCGCAGCTGCAGCGCCTGTATGTCGTGTCCAGCAAGCGCGACGTGGCGACGCCCGGCGATCTGTTCATCTACGATATTGCCAGCAACACGTTCTACGAACGCACTCAGGACCTGATGGCCACATGGGGCACGAGGCAGCCAGCAACGCAGCAGCGGTACCTCGCCGAACACCCGCACTATACCACGGGCATGGAGCCGCAGCGTACGGCGCTGATGGCGCCCGAGGCCAGCGAGATCCACCCGCACCACGTCCACCTGGTGCAGGACGGCCGCTCGGTCATGACCACTCTGGACACTGAGCGCCAGGAGCTCTACGTGATGGCGTCGGTGCAAAACGAGAGCAGCAGTGCGCTGCCCTTGCAGTCGATGATGTCGATGCGCAGCCGCGACGTCATGGGGACAGCGGAGCTGCATGCTGCCCAGGGCGCCTATGCGTCGTACTCGTCGGGCGCCGGCTTCCTGCCATGCTCCAGCATCATGGACTCGGGCGTGCGGTACACTGTGTCCCCGACAATGTCGACCATGCGCCCCAAATCTAGCCGCAGAGATAACCAGCGCAAGGCTGTCGAGGAGTGCGTCCTGATGGTCGTGCTATGCTACCATATCCCTACAGAGACGTGGACAGAGGTGTACCATTCGGCACGCAGCCCTGCAGCACTCGGAATGGCTCCCGGGTCATACCCGTCAGCACGGTTTGCCCAAGACTGGGTATATGACCGGCAGACACGCAAGCACTTTATGTTTGGCGGCAACCCGAACTGGCCAACCAACAAGAGCGCCCGCTTCAACGATACATGGGAGATGAGCATGATGAGACCCAGCCCCAGGACATCCTGCGCCGTGCCCTCTACCTGGTACGCCAGCGTCGCTACCTTGACATGTGTGCAGGCTTGGCAAGCCAGCGCCAGCCCAACTGTGTGGACGAGATCAAGGCGTCGGCCATCCCAAGCCCGAATCTGATGGACGAGAAGCCAGAGTCAATCCCTGGCCTTGGAATGACCGTTTCTGGTCCGCCCGCTGCATCGACGTCAAAGGGAGGCACAGCCCAGGCGCTGGCATATCTGCAGCAGTGCGTTTCGCCGCTGGTAAACCACTCGGATCCCAGCGAGAGTCACTCATTCCGCGCACTGAGCACGGCGCTGTTCCAGATCTCAGCGAACCAGAGTGTGGTCAAGCCGGCGCCCTCACACGAGCTGCTGCGCAAAGAAAGGGCCGATGTCTACAATGCACTGCTGTTCTACTTCCCAGAGAGTGGGCGGCAGCCAGACTCGCAGCTAGATGAGCTGGTCCCGATGGTCCTAGACTGAAGCCCCTTATAGCCATAATTTAAAAAAAAAAGACTGCTCTACCTTTTATTAAGAACTCTCTACATCCTCATCCACAGAATCAACATCAACGTCATCGTCTTCATGGTCTACTGGCTCCCGTGCGACGCTGGTATCGCCAATAAATGGAATCAATGTGCCAGTGCGCCTGCAGTAGCTGTCATACTGCGGACCAAAAAACACTCTCAGCGTGTGCTCCTCATACCTTGTCCTCCGCAAAAAGAAGTACCCGAGCACTGCTGCAAACCCAATTACCGATACCGGGTTCTTCAGCATAATCTGCAGTCCGACCGCCCACAAGAAGAACCCTACGTACGATGGGTGCCTCTCATACTTGTACACACCATGTGTAATCAGCTGGTGGTCAGATTCCTTCCGATTCGCAATATAGTGGTTGAAGCTCGATTTCGCTGTAACCATCGCCAGCGTACGCATTGCCTGGCCAAGCACTGCCATCACCAGACCAGCACAGGTCACCACACCTGGCGCCTTGCTCGACCCACACAAGTACGACTCGATGCAGTACTCTGCAATTGACACCAGCATCGCCTTGTAATAGTGGTTGCCCTCGTCGGGATTGAACATGAAGGACTCCATGGTGACGCGTGTCGGATTGTACATGGCCACGCTCAGGTACTCAAGCATGTGGTAGACAGCGGCCACGGCTATGTAGAGCCCGAGGACTCCAAAGTGCGTGAAGCCAAGCGTCATAGCGGCAGAGAGACCGAGACCGATCAAAATGCCGAGACCACAGGCTGTCAGTGCAATGTTGTGGGC